ATAAAAAAATAATTGCGAATTTTATTTGAATTGAACCTAAATATCGAACTGTGAAAAAAGGAATCAAGTAAGTTTAAAAAAGAAAAGAAATACTAATAAATATATACCAAATTCAATACTGGGGAGCTAAAATTTTGAGACCTAATTTTTTTAAAAACTGCATGTGCGATTTTTACAAAACTTAGCACTTTGGCATAATTTGGATTGCAGAATCGAAATATAGGAAAAAAATCGGCATGTCACTACAGAAAAAGTCAGATTTGGTATTAGAATACCTTTATTAGCACAACGCTATATATAAATCTAATGCATATCCTAAGCCGGGCTTTCGAAACATGAAAAATGCAAGTTAAATTTCAACAGTCTACCCAATAGAATGGGAAATATAGAACAGTACCTTTTTTATTTTGTGTGCAAGGTGTACATCTATTCCACTGATAACCTTCTGCTCTCAGGAATGAAATGAAATGACATTTCATCGTACCATGATGGCTCCAGGAAGTAGTCTTGATAATTCCAAGAGAAACTTTACAGAAATCATCACACATGTTCTTCCTTATTTGGATCATCTCCCTTATCAAGAACCAAAGAACCTAGCCTGCACAAATCTTCTGTATCCTAATAATTAGATTAATCTCAACAAAGATTCTTTTGCCATACTTCTGTGCCCCATTATCTGCTTCATGATGATGCATCTCTCATTTTGAATGAGTTCCTCAATAAATGATAGGTTTTCATCGACAGTAATGGTTTAAGGTTTATCTGAGTGAGGTTGCTGCAGGGTGTTGCAATTACCAACCCAAAACCTCTCAAGCCATCGAGATGCATTACTTCAGTTCATTGGGTGTTCCCTATAGATTAGCAACAGCTTAATGTGAATTGATGTTGCTGAGTTATCCCCAGACTTGTAGAGGAATATGATTACTGCACAATGAAGTAGTAGCATTGCTGAGAACAGAAGTAAAACATTACTTCAAGATTTACATCTACCTGAAGCTCAGCGCTTTTAAGACTTCAAGACAAACTCATTCAAAAAACATGATAAAGACATTTTATTGCACACAGACACAAAAGCAAACTCTATGACATGCATTAACTACTTCTATGCAAGCAGTGATGCCACTTGGGGAATGTCAGCACCACTCCATGCTAACTTTAATTCAGTTTAGTTTATGGTATCTCACAGATCATCCATGGGGACTTACTTGCAACAGCAAGGTTATCTGGATGTGGAAACACATGTGAGGGTTATGTCTAACAGTAGAGATGCCTTCATGGAGGACTTCTTAACAGAAATTAGTTTCTATTTACATTACACAAAAATCAATCATTCAGCTACCTCATTTGCCTGGGATTGAACCCAGCAGTGAGAGTGAACCAGTGTTCATCAGTTTTAACTGCTCAGCCACTAGTGGGACTTACAACAACAAAAAATAAGTATAAGTTAGAAGGTAAAGAACAAATTACTACTCACAAAATTTCATTTATCTTCTATTTATCAGTACTAAGTTATACAGCACAAAGTCTGTAATCCGAACTCGTCAGGACTTCGGCGATTCTGGATTAGAGGGTTTTCCGGATTACAGATCATCAATTTAAATCTGGTAAGATGGCATGCAGAAATTATACAATTAAAAATATGAAACCGTAATTTATGAAATAAAGAGCAATTATGATCTAAAGGGTATCAAAATTTACAAAAAAAAAAGCTTAATATTTATTTGTTTACTTTAGTAAACATTTATATCAATGTAAGTTGTTTAAGTTGCTTCGTTTTTTGTGCTAATACTTTCTCTTTAATTCTATAAACAGACATAATTTCTTGTTTAGTTACAAAGTTCCACTGTTCAAGTCCTGTAATTGCTGTGTTGAGAATACCGACTAACTTGTCAATTGAAATTAGTTAGTTTTCAATAACGTTACTTTCTTCACTATCGGAAGTGCGCATGGGTAAACGCTTTACTGACTTACGCACATGCGTAGTGGACGCACGCATATCAAATGTGCATGCATAAACGCATTCCGCACATGTGTAAGTTTGTGGCTTTGAGGTCCGGATTATAGATCATTCCGGATAATGGATGTTCGGATTATGGACTTTGTACTGTACTGGATTGTGCACTACTTTTGACCAATCTTTGTATGCAGTTGAACTTCGTTGAGTTAATCAGATTATTAAGTACTGAGAATGCAGAGGCATAGTCGGGATTTCTACAAAGGACATGGCTGTTTAATGCCAGATTTTTAAAACACTGCATTAATATGAGGGAATCGGTGTTATATTTTACAACTGACTACATTGCTTATGCAGTATTGTTGAAAATTTTATAGCATATAAAATAATGAAATATGCACGATAAAAGATAAATTCACTAGTTTTGAAGACTGAAGTGGAAATCTTTATAAAATTTAAATATTAGTTAAGATTGTCAGATTTTAGAATACAATTTTCTAATTTTTTATCAAACACAAATTTAAAATAAATTTTCTGTAACTCTCATATTTCTGCTCAGATATACTATAGTTTCATACTGTTCTTAGTTGATTTCACATTTTCACAGCATATTCTATTCTTTCAAGGAAAAGTCCTTTTGCTATGTTGAACTAGCTGACTAACTTTGCTATAGTGACTTTTTGATTTAAGCAATATGAGAAAATGCTGTTCGATTTCTATGGTATTTATGCAAACATTTGAACTAAATATTAATTTTTAAATAAAAAGAAATATCTGCAATTAACTTTGTGCTTATTTTTTTTTTATTATTATTTATTTAGATTTGGCAATTTTATGTAATTTTACCTGTTTGTGATATAAGCTGACTGATCATAATCTCATAATTGACAGCTTTTGTTTTTCAAAGAAATTCTTATAATATTTTAGTCCATTTTAAACTTGTTTTTATATAACTGCACCTTTATAAACCTTTGCAGGTATTTTCATCTGCTGATTTAAATGAGAACCTCTTTTAGATTGTTCATGTGTAGAAAGCTCTAAATTTGTTCTAATATAACAGTCAGATTTTTCATGTCTAAAAAATAAATCGTAATACCACAATTAAATTATTGAATTCACCTATAATCTAAGCACCTATTCTGTCGCTATTACATAGCTCATAAGGCCAAAACAATAACTTTTCTTAAACAACATACATTATTAAACAGCTAATAGCTTTTTTTTTTTTTTTTTTTTTGAAGGGAAAGGACATTATGTAGCTTGAAAGTGTTTTCTGTTTCTGATTTTATATTTAATGCAGATGCTTATTATAGAACTGCGAGGTTTGATATTTTTACTTTTTTTAAAAAAAAAGTTCAGAAGTTAATTCATTATTTATATAATTCTGATATTTAAAAGCACCTCAGTTTTATTTTCAGTCATGCTTTATATTTCTAAAAAAGATACTTGTTATTTAGAAAGAATACACTGTTATACGGAACTCTTAAAAAATTAGGATTAGGTAGCCTTAAATTAATATACAATACAGTGCAAACCTCGGAGTAGAAAAATCACGTCTAGCATACTGAAAAACAATAATAAATTGTGCTAAATTCATTAGTATATAATGAATATTCTCTATTTGTAGCTCTAATGTGACAGCATGCAATGTGTCTACTCTTTCACATTGTGTTAAAGGAGAAGAAAAAGAGCAGAAGGGTTCATTTTGCCTATGTTTTGTCAACTGATATGGCCATTCATTCATATATACTTAAGTGGTGTATTAGCAGAAAGGAAGAGAACATGGCAGTCTGCAACTCATTTCATTTTGAAATTTTTATATCAAAATCGATGACTCAGTGCAAAACTTCACATTAAACGCATTTAATAAAGATTTTATCATATGAATGAGTTAGAAAATAATAATTGTTCCTCCAGTTTTAAATTTATACACATGCACTACTGCTGAAATGACGCCCCTGCAAGAGCATTCTCATTAACTTGCAAAAAATTTTAACTCTTAAAATTTGAAGACAAATTTTTATTCAAAGAAAGTACTCAAAATGATACAGTCAATGCTTATTATAATAGCCACTCCTTATAACAAACATTGCAAGATAATTAATTACAGAATATTAAATTCTTTTTGCTTTAAATAACACTCATTATAATACCATTTCTCGTTAGAAACACAAGAATTTGTTACAACAAGCATGAATTGTATTTTAAATTATTTTATTCAAATAATATTTATTTGGATTTAGGCATTGTTTTATCAGCAGAATTATTACAAAGATAGTTTAAAATAAATATTACCATCTAAAAAAATCCAATAAATATTATTCCATAATATATTCCAAAATATTTGCTAAAAAATCATTATATGACTTGCAGTGCAAATATGTATATCATACTGGCCTTACTGATATTAAAACCGGCCACTATTGATTGTGGCTAATACCAACTGGCACTCTGAAATTCATCTGAGATTATAAATTAAGATTCATATTGGTTACTATTTTCCCAATGCAGATTACTCATATCATTTTATTGGTTAGGAATTATACCCAGGAGATGATATTATTTGTTGCTGAGTCAGCACTTTCTTCATAGTGAAACATAAATTATATTTTTTCTTTTATGTTAGTTAATGAGTTTTTATATTTTCTGAAATAAAACTATCAGTTTCTGCTGAAGTTTAATGGATCACACACTTCCTTAGCATTTTTATTCAATCTCTGCATTTTCATATAATAAATAAAAAATTCTTTCCAATATCCTTTTAAACATTATTCAGTGGATATTAGTTCGCTTTTAGTGTTAGAATATCAATAGCAAAAAAATAACTTTTTTTCACTTAAAGTTCATCAAATTTATAAAGAAAGTGAAGTATATAACAATATTTACACAGGCTTTAAAATATGAATTATATATGGCATTATAAATAAAACTTTCAGTTCCAAACTTCACAAATTTTTAAATTAATAATATCTCATATAAAAGAACAAACTTCCAAAAACACACAAAGCTATGAAAAACAAACTAAAAACTATCAAAGATATGTTACTTTATTAATCTGCTCAGCACATTCCATATTAATTCCAAACTCTTCTGGTTTAGCCAAAAGTTTTGAATCTAATTTTTCATCATCGGGTATTATAACTTCATTAAAATTTACTTCAGATTGAGGTTTCTCAGGTAAACCCAGAACACCAATTACCTGCAATAAAGTTACAAAAAAATAACTCATTTTAATCTTAATTATAGGAAATATTGAACAACTCTTTTCCACAGAATTATTAAAAAATCATTTACAAAGGCATCAACATTATAACAGTCATCAAGTGTTTCACTTTAATAGAATATACTACTCAAAGCATCCTTTTTATAAGATACTAATTCTGTAACAGGTTAAATAAGATGTTTCCATTTGTTTTACTGCCCACAGAAACATTTTGTAATTGAGTAACTTAACTTTATAGTCATCATAATATTTAACTAAGATCTAAAACCAGTCTTAAATAAAAGCATTAATTAAAATACATTAATTGATATTAAATTTTTGGAGTATTACATATTTGCCTGTCATAACAATTAGCAGATATCCAAACAAACTTGTGCCAATCTTTCCAACAGAAGTTTGAAGGTAAAGACTGCTTTTTAATTAAGTAAATAATCACAGATCACTATTTATTTAGTCAGATAATAAATGGATACAAGGTATGGATGTAGCCTATAAAACATAAATAAATACGAATTCAGGCTTTGGGTTCATCTAACAAAAAATTCATTAAAACTTGAGTCAATAATTCTGATATCCAAAAATCCTGAATGGCATTTAAAATAGTGACAAAAGAGTAATCTTCTTTGCAAATTCAATTTCATATAAATTCGCTAAAACAATAATTGAAGTGGTATTGTGTGGCTGTACTGTACATTTTAGTGTGTCATTTTGCTAAACCTTGGAACCTTTCAATGTTCTAAAGTATACCCATCGGAATAACCAGTCTGATAACTTCGAAAGTACTCCACTGTTTGCTTTCCTGCAGAAGGTTGGTACCACACTTTAATAATTTTTTTTAAATAAAAGAGAAAAACAGAGAAACTGAAATTAACTTACATCCATTTTCACAAAAACTAAATTGGATCACTGAGGATCGAGGTTGCATAAAAACTAAAGCAAAGTCCTTATTTATTATCAATGAGGACTGAGGTTGCATAAAAGCAAAGATTTAGAAAATTTCATAAATGAATTGTGAAGTTGTGTTTAACTATTATCAGTGCAAAATTTGCACAACTTAGTGACAGTTTTTGTTTGTTGCAAATGGTCAAACAGAAAAATTACTCAGTATCTTTGGATATACTATTTAAGGCTACAGCATATTACATGACTTCAGAAGACACTTGATAAAGGCAAAGCTTTGTAGACTTTAAAATTTTATGAGTTTATTTAATTTTTTATGGATTCAAAAAAAGCACATTTTAAAAGCAGATTTGTGAAGACTCTTTAATTCTTCTATCTGATCATTTATTTTAAAAATTAATATTTTACACTACTTTATAGAGAAGGAAGTTAGATAATTTATATCAATGAAAGTTATGTGAAAATATGTAATAATGTTTACAAAAGTTCAGATTTGATTTTAGTTTTAGCTGATTATGGCAAAGCACACTAAAGCTATCTGCCTGGGGGGGATAACTGTGTGGAAGACTTTCAAAGAGAAACTGGCTCATGTAACAAATGGGGGAAACGACAAAAACACCCATTCAGCCAGCCCACTAACCTGGAATTGAACACCCAGATCGAAGCTATCAGTATTCCTTGATTTTAGCACTCGGCCATTGGTGGGCCCCCCAAGAACAGCAGATGCAGTAAAAAAGTGTAAAGAGAATATACAGGTTATATTTCTCAAACATTATGTTCAATCCAGATTTTACTCCAGGGAGGGAGAGCTGGCGTTAATTAAACATATCAGATTCAAAAAATAATCTCCAAGTACATATGCACTCTGAAGAAATCAGATAATCGTGGCCCAGTTAGCATATATGGATAGCATAAAGAACAGAAGAGAAAGCTGTATATTTTATTGTTACAGCCTTGTACATATTATCAGGCTAGTTTGATCCAAAATAGCATGTTAGTAAAGGCAATATAAATACATATTTAATAATACACATATTTATAATTAACATATATTAATATGTTAATTCATATATTAATAATTAACACATATAATATTAATAATATCATAATATGTACTATATCACATGTATTAATAACACACACATTAATATCATATGTATTAATAATATTGCATATATATAATTTGACACATATTTAATAATAAAAAATATAAGCAAAGATTTAAAATATCATTTCACCAGTTAGCTACTAAACCATATTAATATAAAATGAAGAATAATATAGACCTGTTTGATTTAAAAAAAAGGAAGGGAAAAAAGAATAAATAAATAAAATTTAAAACAAAAAATACTTTCTCTACATTAACATCTACTATTCAGAAAGAGATTAATATTAACAATATTTTATTCATCTTCATAGAAATTACTAGATTCTTTGAAATAGTCATGGAAACACTATATCGTACAACATAAAGTCTGAGATCTGGAATCATCAGCACTTCGGTAATTCCAAATTTTTGAAATTTCTGTATTTTATAGCATCAGTCTAAATCTAATAAGATAGTAAGCCAATATGTAGAAATTATAAAATTTAAAATATTCTTTATTAATATTTCTTTAAAATTTTGAAGGTCATTGATGAACTGAGCTTGCATTCCAGTTACATACCATAGTGGGCACAAATGAGCACAGCTCAAATTACAAATTTCTGCCTAAAGTAATGAATGAGTCCCGATCACGAATTAGATTTTTGTCCCAATGCATGCAGACATTCTTTAATATAATCAATTGATTTTTAGCATTACTAACACATTGAACTTGCAGATTAGCTGATTTTACTTTTATTAATTTATTATAGATGGCGGTAGGTGTACTATTAACATCTGAAATAAATCAATAGATAATTTCTTGCACAATAAGGGTGAATTTAGCAGTCTTTTCAAGAATTTTTATTACTATATTTTTACTGCTTATTACAGCTAGATATGGCATCAAAGAAATAAGCAAAAGCACATTTTTGTATGACAAATCTGGTTTTGAATACAATTTTATTTTCAGATAGTGAAAAGGATTCAAATTTGGATACAAATATTTGCTTTGAAAGTGTGGAAAGGATGATTTTTAACAGTGCGAAATGCCACATTTTTGTACCATTCCATGTTTTAAAGTTTACCATATACAAAAGTATGTTTGGAGTAAATATATATATATATAACAAATATTCTCTTATTCATATAAAGCTAATTTAAATTTTAAAATATGAAAATTCAATTGTATAATATATACAGACATTCATTAAATTACTTATCATTATAATATTATGCACTTTATTGATTTGTAAATTAATTATCTAACAAGTCTTCTTAGATTTTAATAATTCAATATTAAAACATTATTATACAGGCATATTAATAATGTGAAAATATAATCGCAAATAACAAAGCATTATAACTTGCTATGAAGATGCATCCATATTTTCCCTTTCAATAAGGCCTTTATTTTTCTTCCTCGGAAACAGGAGCATTTAACAAAGCATATAGGGTGAAACAAGTGTCATCTGTTCCCATTGCAACTGACAGACATCATGTGTATTTGGACTGACAGACATCGGAAGAAACATTTGGAAGAAACATTTGGAAGACATTTGGAAAGAAAAGAGTCAATCTTGCAAGAGTTTAAGAAATAAATATGTCCCATAAAGAAAGATTTTTTTTCCTGAACACCATTATGTGAAACTAAAATTGAGATGGTAATATTTTCTGGATTTAAAATCATACTACAGATATTCACTACTCCATTAAAAGAGCAATGATCGAGGCATCATCATCACAGTGTAAGACTTCAGTTATACCACTTTCATTTAGCATTCCTTTTCATATTCCATTAATCAGAAAATTTCACTTTTTCTTGTGATATCTGAAAACCTTCAGATTCATGGCACTCAACATCAACATAAAATTTTGTAAATGACTATAAATTAGGCCAAGCATTTTTAAAAATATCTGCACACATGTCCTATTTTGATTTTGCAATGCACAACACATCATATTTCATTTAAAATATTTCTAGAATTCTTGGATGGCCTTACTGCTGCATTGGTTTTTAAAATTTTACTTCAGATCTGTATTTCAGTATCCACAGAATTCAGATATCCAGTGGCTGATATTTGGATATATAATTTTGGGTAAAGATTAAAATGGAGATGTTATTATTTACTAAAACTGCAATACTGGTGTTTGATTCTCATTGACAATGATCCGCTTTTTCCCTAGTCAGCAGATGTTTGAAAGTTGTGTACAGGAATCTCAGTTAAAGGAGAAAAAATTGCTTTTATTACAGATCTGCTTTTTCTCACATCCATTTCTTGAGTATTATATATTTTGTAAAGGGGGGATCTTAATTTTCTTTTGGCTAGCAGTCCAGGAGTCTACAGGCCTGGATATTAGATCATTTCTTATACTGGACACCTGGGTTTTGAACTTTGCACTGTAAAAGACTACATATTTCACAAATTTGATGTCTACTCACCTAACATTTTTCACTAAACTTATGTTCATATTTAATTAAACTACAGCAAAAATATGCAAAAGTTATTATTACTTACCAACTAGTAGTTTTAACTAAAAATGCACATGTTGATAATTAGAAATGAAAAGGAATGTTAGTCATTATGAATAGTATTTACTGATCATTAATAAAATAAACATATAACATACATGATTAAAAATACTGTAGGTAACAGGGGGACTTCCACCATTTGCTTTTACTATAGCTTCAGTGTCCCATAAAGTGTGAGAAACCTTTTTAATAATTTCAATATTACTTTCAGCACATATTTGCTTAATATTGTTCTCAGTTTCCACCCAGACTGGCTGCACATCACATTCATATGATAAATGGGTAACATTCCATCTCTTGAATAGATCAGATAAAATAGCAATGCCTTTACCTTGAAACACATACAACCTAAAAAATAAATGCCATATGCAAATCAATAAGCAAAGGTCGAACTACTTAAGAATATGAATAACTCTTTCTATATACTAAATTTAAAACATAAAAAAAAAAAAAAAAAAAAAAAAAAAAAAAAAAAAAAAAAAAAATTCAAAATCGTATTCAGCAGTGGAATAATTAATTGATACAATATGTACATCAAAAACTTAAATAAATAATTTATCAGAAATAGATTTAACCATTCCAGGAAGATGGTAAAATTGTATAAAGAAACCTATTACATTTAAATTACGAATCAAAATTAACGATGATCCCTTATTATTTTTGAATTTTTTTATAATTTATAATTAAAGTGGAAATAACAATCATATAAACATTTATAATACAATATAGATTATTCACGGTTTTATGCTCCAGACCAATTTCTCTAAAGAAATAATCTGAAACATTAAAACTTGAATAATCTAAGAGAATTGCTTTGTATGAGCTTTTGAGCATCTACAGATAAATATAAAATACACAATAAAACAAAATGGATATTGAAATAGAAAAAAATATATATTATTTAAGCCTCATATTCAAATAAATCACGCAGTTATCCCAAGGTATAAGTCTTCCATATATAAATCTTTAGTACATAGTTTTAAAAATAAATTTACCATAAAAATATAAAATGTTACCAAATAGAAAATCTAGTAAAAACATAAACTGGTCATTAAAATTAAAGGATAATGACTCCTATTTAATGAAAAATTATAACAGAAATTTGTACAAAAGCATTAGTTAACATAATTGCAATGTTTGCAATTGACTATTCACAAAATATTGAAATTAAAACCATATTAATGGAAATTGGAGAATGATAGAAAAACTAAGTCATATGTTGGGGAAAACTCCATCCATTTTCTCTTTAACCTTTTCGCGACGGCACACCTTTGTTTAAGACGCTTGTGTGGGACGGAGGGGAATCGAAGGCAGTCACTGTACAGGACGGAGGTTTTGCATTGCTAAGCCTAATTTTATAAAAAAAATCAAATAAAACAACACAATAAAGACTATTTAAAGTAAGAAGTAACAAAATTTAAAATGAAGACTGAGTGTGGTAAATCTCGAAGCACAGAGAAGTATCACTTTAGAAGTATCACTCTTAGAAAAAGTACCACTTTTTAATTCTTTAGAAAATGAATCATTACTCTCATTTGTGTTAGTAAATGGTTCACTAACCATACGAGGGTAGTCTTCCTCTGATAAATAGCGCCTTTCCACCATAATAGACTGGAGGTGAGGCTTTCTTAAATAAAAAGAGAAGAAACGGAAATATATCTGAAAGCAATGCAAAACATAAAAGTACTCCGCACAGTAATCCTAAAAGACTGTACATAGTAGAGGGAAAAAAAGGGGGGAGGGAATTGGATATAAATCAGACACGAGAATGTTTTCATTAGCACGCAGCGATTTAAAGAGCCCACCTCTGTTTACGCTTCCCCCTCCTCGCAACAGCTGATGAGTAAAATACCAAAGTCAAGCAGAATATATCAAACTCAAGGTCAGGAACTTAAAACTGTGTTCATTTCAAAAGTAATGGACATAGGATGCCATCTAGTGGCCTTCAGAAAAACTTTCCACCTTAAAATGCATATACGAATCATCCGTCCTCTGAATGCCATCTCTAGTAATGTGTGGATGGGATGCGCTGCTGTAAGAGGCGTTCTTAGGGAATGCGTATATGGGACTCCCGTCCTGAAAGGGTTAATATGGTGTGTGGTCACTTTGGACAGATATGCATACCTCACATCTTGATTTCACAGTTTTAACCAAAGTGTTGATCAAGTCTTGTGGAATTACATGCCACTCTTCTAAAAGTGCCCCTTTTCAGCATCTCATATGTCCATGGAGGAATTTGGCAAGCTGAAATTTGGTGCCTTAAGGCATTCTACACATACTCAATCAGGTCAAATCAGTTAAGTAAGGTGGTCAATCCATTTGAGTGATATTTTCTGTTTGAAAGTATTCTGACACGACATATGCTTGTGAGGCCGAGCATTGTCATCCATTAGCAAATACAGTCAAAAGTCTTTAATCCGGACTCGTCGGGACTTCGGCGATTCCGGATTATCGATTTTTCCGGATTATAGATCATCAGTTTAAATCTGGTAAGATGGCATGCAGAAATTATAAAATTAAAAATATGAAACCGTAATTTATAAAATAATGAGCAATTATGATCTAAAGGGTATCCAAATTTACCAAAAAAGAAGCCAAATATTTATTTGTTTACTTTATTAAACATTTCTTTTAACGCGCGGATGCGTAAAGCATACCTTACTCATAGCCGAAATTAGAAAATTGCAACCAGAAAACTATGTGATTTGTATTCGTGATATTTATAATGACGAGGAATTTGATTTAAATCATATCAAAGACGGAGTACATCGAAATTAAATACTACATTTAGTAAGGAATTATAAGCCGACTAAAAAAAAAAACATCTGCCCTGAAGATAACGATAGTGTTGACAGATCAACTTCCAGTTCATTGCGCGCGCCCGACGGCCCCCCCCCCCCCATGCAGAGCAGCGTGAAATTGATAAACAGATTTTCGGAACGGGTTAGATAAACAAAGGATATGCCTTTATCCATTTTTTGCAGCAATTACACTTTTTTTGTTTGATGGACATCAAAACATACTTTCGTTTTTGTAGATCCTTTGGGAGCTCCAGCATCGGAAATTCTATTTGACATAATCGAAAGTTCAAGCTTACTTTTATAAAATTGCTCTTACAGTCTGCAAAAAATAATAAGCTGGATCCAATTCGAAGATTAAGGAACAACGCAATCATCAACATTAACTGAAATAGATAATTAGATAATTTTAGCTTATACCGTCCTGTTATACATTAAATGCTCACGCAAAAAAACGTATTCGCGCTTGCGCACACCCATATGCGCAGTCGTAAAGGTCTTACGCGCACGCGTAAACGCCTATGCGCATGCGTCAATGCGGCGCATGCGCAGAAAGATTTTAGCTTTGAGGTCCGGATTATAGATCATTCCGGATTACGGGTGTCCGAATTAACGACTTTTGACTGTACTCTAAGCCAACAGTATCCCCTAAACAGATTGGGGCTCTAATACCTCATCTACATATCTCTGAGGGTTACATAATCCCCTTGAAAGATATGCAGCTCAGTGCAGCCATTTGTCACGATTCCTCTCCAAAGCATTCAACTGTGTTCACAGAAACAAGATATTTCATGGACAAGGGAAGGCAAATTGCATTTTCCTTCCTTTCTCCAGATCAAAACATGTCTAGAATTGCACTTCAAACAATATCTGGGGCTCATCTGTAAGCAATACTTAGGCCCAGTCATCTTTGCTCCATAAAACAGGATGACAGCACCAGTTTAAACGGGCCCCTTTTGGAAGCTGGAGTGAGTGGGATACAAAACATTAGTTTTCTCACATACAGCCCAATCTCATTAAGCCTTCATGCAATGGCAGTGCAATTCCAATGGCAGCCTGAAGGTCTAAAACCAAATCTCTTGTAGTCACTATGAGTTTCTTTGAGCCAACAACGATAGAAAACGTCTTCAGATGCATTTGTTGCTCTTGGTTGCCCTTGACTAGACTGTTTATCACTTACCCAGAGCTTAAAAAGCAGCTCCAACTTCTTTATATGAGATTTTGAGGGATATTCAAATCTTGGATGACCTCCACCACCGAATTTGCATATTTCCGGCACTAACAGATGTGCAGAAGTGCAAATTTATGTTCAATTGTACTTAATTAATATAAATAATTACAGAATTGGTTGCAACATTAACTTAGTGAACATGTTTTTTCTCATTATCCTTTAATTTTAATGATTAGATATAAGCAAGAGTTAAGAAACTTTAAAATAATAATTAAAGTCATGCAACACACTGAGAAATTAATTCAATAATCAAGAGAATATTTAATTAGATCATAAGAAGATAGTTGACTGGCAAACAGGAAGAACACAAATCAAAGCTGAAACAAAAACAAAACAACTGAAATAACATAAATATATAATAATATAACAAACAGTTGAAAATTCAGCTAATCTTTGGAATATGGTAACAGTTAGTTTGGCGACATATTGGTAAGGCGATAAGGGTTACTAGCTAGGACTTTAGCAGCGTACATGGATAACGTCAAGAGTGTGCGCAATGTCATTTTTGTGCAATTCTGGGATGTTTTTTTAAGTGAAAATAGGTCGACGTGTACATGGATGATATCGTGCATGTGCAATTCTTAAAAACGCGGCAAGCAGTGGGCGATTCTGCACTTTCTTCGAATTTCGCACCTAATCATCAACATGATTAAGCACTTTTGTTCCATAAAAGTTCTAGCATAAGCGTAATTCGGCTAGCAGATTGTTGAAAAAAAAAAGTTGAGTTAAAAAAAAAAAAAAAAAAAAAAACCGCCTTTACTTAGTGAAAACAAAATAGCATCCCAAAAAAAACTAGAAGGTTGCTGTAGCAGGGTTGGTCGCCAAAAAATCGACAAGTTACCATAATCCGAAGATTAACCGAAAATTCTTCAATCTTTTTCAAAAAGCAGCTGTAAAATGTCCCACACAGCCATGTTTTTGAATTATATCTGGATGATTTTAAAAACAGATTCATGAAATAATTCAAATGTGTATATAAAAAATTAAATAACCTTAAATAAAATGTAAGGCCAAAAAAAATTTTTATGTAATGTTAATAACAAAAGCTTTAACATTTTTTTTACTCAATCACCAAGTTATAATCTGCTCCAACATGACTTTAAACAAATCATACAGTATAAAAATTTAATGGTATAAAAGTAAAATACACTAAATTAGAAACCATAAAAACAGTTTTGTAAATTAATATTTAACTAATAGATGTAAAACACTTAAAGTTACTTTTGTTCTGCAACACTTATTTAGCAGTTTTGCCATTTCTTAATGTTTAACATTTAACACTGCCATTTAAACTTAACATTCTGAAATTAAATTGACTAACTTAATTCGGCTAATCTTTGGAATATGGTAACAGGTAGTTTGGCAACATTTTGGTAAGGTGATAAAGGTTACTAGCTAGGACTTTAGGAATAATCTGAGAAGTACACAGTTTGAATCACAGATTATTTTGTCTCAGAGAAATGAGAGATCATAAGACATCTAAGGTAACATTTTCCAGAAAATTCCAATCAGGATTTTAGCTAATAAGCACTTAGAAACAATTTCACTGCTAAAGTGCAGAATCTCCCACTTATTTGTTTGGCGCTTTTTACAAGAGTAAGAAGAATCTTCGTCATGATTAAACACTTTTGTTCCATAAAAGTTCTAGCATAAGCGTAATTCGGCTAGCAGATTGTTGGAAAAAATGTTGAGTAAAAAAAAGGCTAAATCGCAGAATAGGCTGCATCAGTCTTGAAATGGTAGGTTTATAATGTTCTGCGCGAGATTTTTTTAATTATAAATCTACTGTTGTGTGTTGTGTGGTAGTGTTAGCATTTAACACAACAAATTATCTCTGACAAACGTATTATTAAGATACCAAACGATTGAAAACGATCATTACCAGACGATTGAAAATATTGAATGCATGAGTTAAAAATTATAACCGTAACTTCTGAAATTACAGAAAAGAATTCTTTCTGCTTAAAGAATGTTTTAGATTATTGATGAGTGTGTCAAAATCGGTGCTTACTTGCAGAATGGATGGAGTATCTGAATCTGGATTTTTTAATCAGATGGAGCAAAGAGGCAAAAAGAGCGTTATTGAGTGGTGTATATATGGAGAAAAGTTTGATTGCAATATCGTATAAGTGCCCAATTTGTGGAACAAATATGAAACTAGTAGAGAGACGGTTTTGAGACGTATAGACGATTTTAAGTGGTGCGCAATGCCGAGTTTGTGCAACTCTGAGATGTTTTTTTAAGTGAAAATTGATTGATGTGCACATGGGCAAAGCAAATGCTGTGCGCGATGCCGAGTTTGTGCAATTATGAGATTTTTTTTTTGAGTGAAAATCGATCGATGTGCACATGGGCAAAGCCAGTGTGATGCACAATGCCGAGTTTGTGCAATTCTGGGATTTTTTAAGTGAAAATCGATCGATGTGTACATGGGCAAAGCCAATGTGGTGCGCATTGCCGAGGTTGTGCACTATGCCGAGTTTGTGCAATTTTGGGATTTTTTTAAGTGAAAATAGATCGATGTGCACATGGGCAAAGCCAATGTGGTGCGCAATGCCGAAGTCGTGCGCGATATCGAGTTTGTGCAATTCTGGGATGTTTTTTGAAGTGAAAATAGATCAATGTGCACATGGAAAAGCCAATGTGGTGCGCAATGCCGAGTTTGTGCAATTCTGGGATGTTTTTTTTAAGTGAAAATTGATCGATGTGCACATGGGCAAAGCCAATGCTGTGCGCGATGCCGAGTTTGTGCAATTCTGGGATTTTTTTTTTAAGTGAAAATAGTTCGATATGTACATAGGCAAAGCCAATGTGGTGCGCAATGCCGAGGTTGTGCACAATGCCGAGTTTGTGCAATTATGAGATTTTTTTTTTTTTTGAGTGAAAATAGATCGATGTGCACATGGGCAAAGCCAGTGTGATGCACAATGCCGAGTTTGTGCAATTCTGGGATTTTTTAAGTGAAAATCGATCGATGTGTACATGGGCAAAGCCAATGTGGTGCGCAATGCCGAGTTTGTGCAATTCTGGGATGTTTTTTGAAGTGAAAATAGATTGATGTGCACATGGAAAAGCCAATGTGGTGCGCAATGCCGAGTTTGTGCAATTCTGGGATGTTTATTAAGTGAAAATTGATCGATGTGCACATGGTTAAAGCCAATGCTGTGCGCGATGCCGAGTTTGTGCAATTCTGGGATGTTTTTTTAAGTGAAAATAGTTCGATATGTACATGGGCAAAGCCAATGTGGTGCGCAATGCCGAGGTTGTGCGCGATGCCGAGTTTGTGCAATTCTGGGATTTTTTTAAGTGAAAATTGATCGATGTGCACATGGGCAAAGCCAGTTGGGCGATGCCGAGTTTTGTGCCAATTCAGGGATTTTTTAAGTGAAAATAGATCGATGTTGTACATGGGCAAAGCCAATGTGTGCGCGCAATGCCAAGGTTGTGTGCGATGCCGAGTTTGTGCAATTCTGGGATGTTTTTTGAAGTGAAAATAGATCGATGTGCACACGGTCAAAGTCAATGTGGTGCGCAATGCCGAGTTTGAGCAATTCTCTGATTTTTCTTTAAGTGAAAATAGATGTATGAGCACATGGGCACCGAGTTTGTGCAATTCTTTGATATTTTTCGAGCGAATACTGATCGTTGTGTAGAAGAGATAACGAGGTTGTGTGTGATGCCGAGCAGTAATGTAACTTTATTTATGTGCAACGTTTAACATATCGTTAGTGTATTTAAAATTTGTATTGTTGTTTTAATTGTGAATTATATTTAAGACGTCATTTTTCATTTAAATTGTATTTTTAATTTTTTGGCTTTGATATGCTTATAACGCTTTCCAACTTACGACATATATCGATAGCCCGACGATCTACTCAACAGTGGCAAAACTGTAAACTTTAACCCTTTAAGTAACGTTTTACCTCATATTTTAATACGTAGTGTTTGGTATCGTAATTCCACTTGATAATATGAGCTCATTGATAATATGTGTGGGTGTGCTTATGTGAAGTATTGCTTAGTGTTCCAAGTTTGTAGTATTTATTTTATTATATTATTTTCTTTCATTCTGAGAAATTAGATTTTTTTATTTATTAATGCATAGAATTCTAGTATGCCTACACAGAATATGGCGTGATTTAGGAATTTTAGTAACTGATATGAAAGCTGTGTAATGATGTTCATATGCAATAAAAATATTCTTCTTTTTTTATTAATACAAAGTTTAAAATTTTTAGAAAATAATGAAAATTGTCTAATTATTGGTATTTCAGGAATTATGTCGTTACGTAGCAAGAAGGTAATTTGTAAAAATAGTAAAACTGAAATGTTCCACAATATGAATTTAAATTATTTTTTTATTTGTATAAATGCTTTAATAAAAATCTCTGAAAATATTGAAGCTCTACAAGTATTAGAGACTGCGACGTTGTTTATCGTTTTAATAATTGGTAGAATTTGCTCACTGTCATCATAATTTAATTTGTTTAATATAAACTATTTATTATACTTATTATCAGTAACGCCTAAGCTTAAATGTTATAAATGTAAATTAAAAGTAAAGAATTTGATATTAATTTACAATAATAAACAATTTATTATTATTGTTTTTAAGAGAAAATAGAAAGTAGGCATAGTGTAAATGCGAGACTTACATCGTGACGTCATAAGCTTAGTCCCACCCATTTATGGACGTCACACAGCTCTTCATACTAAACTTTGTTGATGCAGCCTATTCTGCACTTTTACCAAAAAAAAAAAAATTGCCTTTACTTCGTGAAAACAAAATGGCGTCCAAAAAAAAATCTAGCAGGTTGCTGTAGCAGGGTTGGTCGCCAAAAAATCGTTAAGTTACCATAATTGGAAGATTCACCCATAATTTTAATAAACATCAAAATTAATCAATGCAGTTAACTTAATAACTCGATTGACTGATGAGTTGACAATCTTAAATTGGCAAATAAAATTTTGCTAAAAGTCCTCAATAGAAATTTTAGCTGAAAATTTACCTTGAAATATAATCATGTACAATATGAACATCAAAATATACATTCAGTTTGCTGATAATAAGCAACAGTGATAAGTAAGGATAAATAAACATATTAATTATGTTTGTAAAATAAGAAAGCAAATAGATAACAGCCTAAATTTATAACTAAAAAAAATAAAAAAGAATCCCATTGTTCTTCAAATATGCAATTAATTCTTGATAAATGTTACACATGAAACTGATTTAAAATGTTGATGTATATATTAAATGCAATGCTATCAAAATGAATTATCTCACAAATGTTTTCTTACCTTCCATTAACTTTATGTAACTTATCATCAATATCTTTCAATGCATCTAAAATAAATCTCATTCTATTATAACCTATTTTCTGGGTTTGAATGTCATCATCTTCAAATATGTAAACTGGATATAAGGTAGAACAAACCTACAAATGCAACAAATATAGATAACTGATTACATTTCCATAAAATATACACATATGATTAAATGTAATACACATTAACATGTATGGAACACAGCAGTTGGTTTAAATTAAGAAAATCAAAGAAATAACTCACTAAGAAAAAAAAAGCTAGTAAGTTCAAGAAACCAATTTTTCTTACTTCTAAAATTGTGCTCAAGGAAGGCATATCATGCAATCTGAGATCATTTCGAAACAGATGAATACCTGTTCCCGTTTGTTTTAAGCTTTCTCCCATTTCTAGATTTATACTGCAGAAAAAATACCAAATATTTAATTAATAAACACATACAACAAAAAGAAGACAGTAATTTTGGATTACAAAATTCAAAACACATTATTATTAAAACTAAAGTTCGTTGTTATAAATTCTTTCTTACTCTTTATTACATTCATAAAATAAGATGAAAAACAAGCAATTGATTACAGTATTTGTATCGCTATCGACAAACGAATAAAATATAGCAATCCAACACGCTTCTTTAGTCCATTGCATAAACTCTGAATGTACCAAATTACACATCACTAGCATATTTAATCAAACTCATCAGCTCAACTTATTTACTGCTAGAACCATTTTCTGTTCAACACTGAATAAAGCATCGTTTTTGCACAATTTTTGCACGCAGTGTTATAATAAAATAAAACATTCATGTGAAATAAAAAATAAGGCAATTTTATTCTGCAGACTATGCAGACAAACCTAAAAGATCCTCAAATATATTTCGATCAGTGCCAAATATACTTAAGGCTCGAAATCTACCATAATCCAAAGATTAACCATCTTACTTACTGACAGCTAGACTTTTATCACTTCCAGTTGTCATGCCTATGACAACATTACGCAACAGCAATGTTATTTCGCTTCACTTCAGCTTAAAGATCATTAACATTTCGCTCAAGCAAAATCATAAAAGAAGACTAACAAATGACGGTACGAAAAGAAAAGGATAGCGGAAACTTTCTTCCCTTTCTTAATGTGTCTTTAGAGTTTTACTATCTAAAAGCGTTATCATGCATCCATCTTTTGTTAAGGGGTAATTTTTTTAAATTTAATTATTTATGGAAAACTGAACGGCAATAGATAAAATTTTCCAATTGGAATGGCAACCAAAGAGGTCATTCTAACCTCCTTGATGGCAACAGTGAAAAATGTTCCAATACGTTCTCCTGTTATGTAAGCCCACCAGCGGCCGAGCGGTAAAGTCGCTGAATACTGGTAGTTCGGTCCGAGGTTCAGATTCCGTGAACGGACTGGCTGCATGGGCGTTTTCGTGTTTTTCCCCCACGTGTAACATGTATAAAAGCCAGTTTCGCTTAGAAAGTCCTCCACGAAGGCATCTCTTCCCTTAGGCAGATAGTTCTCAAGGCTTTGCCATAATCACATACACACCTGTTGTATAAAATGTTTCAGTTCTATAAAATGTGACTGTCTAAACAAAATATAAAATCTTAAATATGCTATTTGTATAGCAAAATACTTCAAGATCTTTTTCATGTAACCAACCTGTAAAGACACCGGACTTTTTCTCCTGTCCTTGAAAAGTTACAAATCGATTGTATTTCATACACTCAGCTGTCTAAATCGAAAATTGCATCTTTATGGTTATTATGGAGTATAATTTCTTTAAAATAGTAAAACTACGAGCATGCAGTGGTGGCTAATTTTTTATCATGTGGTAAAGCGCAAATGTTGCATAAAGATTTGCCCTGTCTAAACGTTCTAATATGTAATATCAGCTTAAGAAAATGTAGCATTTTTCCAGTACACCTTATGTTGACAATCTGCAAGGTCTATAAATCTTGTTCTGTAAACACTGAGCGCTCTGTCAGAAAACTAGAAATCAGTTGATTCAAGGACAAAGAAACCTCTTTCTTTTATGAATCAAATATAAATAAGAACTGATAAAAGAAAAATTCAGTTTATTCTAAAAATACGCCAACAAATCAGGGTACTGAACATGCCTCTGCTAAGGAAGTTTATACAGCTATCGAAATTCTGTACCTTGGGAAAGTTTCAGGAATTGACAATATTTCAAACAGTGCCTTAGAATCTTCTCAAAGAAAACAGGGGTGTTAAGGATTAATATCTATAATATTTGCTTTCGATTAAGCTTTTGTCCGAATTTATGGAAATTAGTTGACAACAAATAATATAAGCTCTTAAGCTATCTCTTAAGCTTAAGATTAAATTTCTTAAGCTATACCTAAGTAAGTTTTTCTTTCTTCCATGGCTGTCGTAGGTATAGTAATACTAACTACTTCGAGTTTACTGTGACTAATTCTGTTGTTGCAAATTTTGTTTTAATACTAATTTTGTTGTTACGAATTTTGTATAAATGTAAATAATTTTAATGAACTTATATGCAAATTGTACCAGTAGTATGGGTTAGGTTAGGTTATTTAATTGCGGCAAAGCACTCTAGGGCTATTTGCCTAAGGGGAGGCATGCCTTCGTGGAGGACTTTCTAAGGGAAACTGGCTCGTATACACGTTACACATGGGGAAAACCACGGAAACACCCATGCAGCCAGCCTGTTCACGGGATTCGAACCTCGGACCGAACTACCAGTACCAGTAGTATGAAAAGCCTCAAAATGCGAAGCATCGCCAGAGGAGTCGGGTTACAGAGGCAAGTCCATTTAACATTGAAGCCGTCTATCTAACGCCATGGTGGCGAAAATTTTGGTGATTAATTTTTGTTTCCAAATTTGGCGAAACATTGCAGAAAGTAACCTAACTTGTCGACTCTTTGGTCCAATCCCTGTGTAACTGTAACTGTATCCAGCCCTATGTAACCTGTAACCCTATGTATCTGTCCCTATGTAACTAAATTCCAGCAATTTTAAGAACTCGAAGCTACTAGAAATTTCTCTGGTGAATGGGAGGAAACCATATATACAGGAACGGAGAGAGTATCAGTTCACAGATCAGAGGTTAGCGTCGTCGCGCGATAGTTGCATCTTGACTGTTTACAAATATTGCTGTTTGATTGTTCTCGCTATAGCCAGAAAATATACATATAAAGGCACTCTCTGATGACATATAACAACCGAATGAGTTTACGGACGATGATACTAGTTCTAAATGTTCTACAAAATCTGTTCCTTGACTGCCTTGCTAAAAATCTTCAAGAGTAGAAAAAACTTGGGGAACAAAATTACGAATATGCTAAAAAGATGAAAACTACCCATGGTCCCGATAAACCTCAATTTGAAACTCTTACTGAACACCAGCTCGAACTCAAAAAAATCGAATGGAAAACATTTACCAAATCTCAGGCAAGACTTTAGCGAGATGACGCCTGCAGTTCATGAATTGTTAGAAAAGCAACCTTTGTTTTGGCTTCTCTTGACACTAAAGAAATGAAAGAAGCTCAAGGTAGGAAAAATTCCGACGAAAATCTCGTTAACGACTACACCAAGAATCCCACAGAAAAAGTAAAATGCCGAAAGAAACCGCGACTCCCAGTAAATTCAGCTACGGAAAAAAATTATCCTTACGAAGAAAATTGGAAAATGTCATGTAAAACTCGCAAAGAACCATATCGTAATATTGAAAGCATGGAAATCTCACAAGCGAATAGATTCGACAGATTATCCCCAGATTTGACTAGTGTTAATGAAACGGACGAACAAGGAACTGAAGGTAAAACAAAATACCTCCAATTGTAATAACGCAGAAGGATATTTACTGGTTCTCCTTAGGCAAAATTGGGAGTAAAATATATACCTATGAATACAAAGTCCAAATGAGAGGAAATCTGTCTGGAAATCGGATTACGGAAAAATTGCACATTCCGTGGAGCAAAGCAAATTAAATTTCACACCTATCAAGTGGATAACGGAAAAAAAACCAAGCAATAATCAAAAGCATTTCGAAATCCGTACCTGAAGAGGCTATTTTCCGAAATCTCACATATAGAAATTTCCCATAAGAAAGGTAAAACAGTTTACTAGAAGAATAAAAGATGCAATTATCAAACTTCTAGTTTATTTTAGAGTAGGTAAAACTAATAAAGGAAAAGTCGCATTTAAAATAAGTAGCATATTCATTTTAATTCTAATATTAAACCATTTCGAAAGAAAACCGAACGCCCAACCCAGTGCTTTAAATGCCAACGGTTTGGTCACACACGACACTGATGATTTAATGAATAAAGGAGCTGTAAATGCGGGGAAAATCATAGAAGCACAGAATGTACTGTAAAGACAGGAAAAAATGTCAACTGCCTGTGTACAACATCAGTAAGTTTGTATTGTGTATGCTCAGAGTATCAAAAAAGAGTTTCGGATATTAAGAAAAAAAGAGAGAAGAAAAAGTCTACTCCCAGCATAATTCAAGAAAACTTTCCGGCTTTTTCATATTCCAGGACTCCTGAAAATTACAATTCCAAAAAATTCAATTACAGCGAAATGCAAAAGAAAAATCTACATTCTCAAAAAGAAATCAAACCTACTTTTGAAATTTTTCACAATCAGGATATTCCACATTTTATTCAACAAATTCTGCTTATCTTACAACAGCTTAAGAACGTTAAAAATCTGGCTGGAGTTTAATATTAGGATTCAAGGCTGTACAAATGCTAATAAATTTCTTCGAACTTGAAGAATAAACTGCGAATTTCGTGCGTGAAGCGGCAGCCGAGCGGTAAAGAGCAGGGCATCGCTTGCTGCTTTTGTAGCGGGTTCGGCCATAATCAACTATAGGTTCCTTACTTGCCCGTAGTTCTTGGCCTTGGCTCCTGACAGATGGATTTTAAGGGGTTGGAATTTTATTTTTCTTCTAGATTAACACGCCCATGGCCTCACACGCCATGTTTCCACTTTTCCAACCATTTAATGCCTTAAGTTCCGTTAACACTAGCGTTACATTGGTTCTTAGAAACGCATGAGGACAGCTTTTTAATGCCATTTGTTTCATATTCTCAGGAAGTATTTAATTCTTGAAATTTTGAATAATGTTATTGTCTGTAGTCAGTTTATTTAAATTCGTATATATTCAGTTTGATTTTAAAAAGAAGTGAGTAACTGATTCGTCTTTAACAGGACCATCAACACCGTGTGCGTTTCTTAGGGTCAAAGTTCCGCTAGAGTAAATGGGCCTTAAGGCTACGTGATATGGACTGTGAAAGGCCTTCACAGGTCGTACATATTTAAGTGAACGATGATCTCCGATACGAGCATCAGTTCAGTTTACCTCAGAGTACAAGTCCCCTATAAGCTTCCGCTTTTTGATGTGCTTTGCATTGTTATGTGTTCAACGTTAGTAGCAGTTTGAACTACTACTACTGATTGCTACTGAAGTGATGACTACTGATTGCGCTTTGCCTTACTGAAAAGAGCTGTACGAGTACTTTTGTGCGAAAAGTTTTACAACTGCAAAGAGTTCTTTTCTTTGGGGGAGGGGAGGAATTTCATTGAGCTTTTATAAGTTCTGTGTGCATTCAATCCATTATGATGCTAAGCCCACGTAACACTACGTGAAAAGGGAAACTACCTTTTACAAAGCATCGGCTTAGACCAACGTCATTTGGTTTTAGGAGAAGCAGCTTAATTGTACACTAAAGTTTTGAATATATAATATTCACCATATATAAAACAGTGTTGAATCTTTTAAGAAAAGAAGGGGTGAGTCTTCTTTCTTAGACCTTGAAATAAGCGAAAAATAACAGCAAGAAGTCCAAAATTATTTTACAAACCTAAACTGATTTTAGTTATATTAATTGTTTATCGTATAAATATACTGGGTTGGCCCATAAGACTTGGCGTTATTTTAAATGAAAGTTTGCGTCAAAAAAATGCAATGCGTTTTATGTTA